TAATGCAGTGTTCATTAACTAACTACCCTCCCTTTTCCCCTTCTCTCTCCCAAACCCCCATGCCTGTCCTATTTTATAACAGTGGTGTTATGTAGTATTGTCCTTTTGTGTCTGAAATATTTCATTCAGCATAATGTCACCTAGGTTGCCCCATATTGTGTAATATTTTATGAGTTCATTGTTCTTCGATGTTGTGAATATTCCATTAAGTGAATGTACAGTAGTTTTCCTATATATTTATTTGCTGATATGCACCTGGGTTCCTTCCATCACTTTGCTGTTGTGAATAATGCAGCAATAAACATGGGAGTACATACATATGTCACGGCTCTGGTTACTTTAAGGTATGTTCCCAGTAGTGGAATTGCTGGGTCAAATGGTACTTTCACTTCCTTTTTTAGAAAGCTTAGTGGCAGTACCATTTTACATTCCCACCAGCAGTGAGTAAGAGTTCCAGTCTCTCCACAATCTCAACAGCATTTGTTGTTTGCTGCCCTGTTGAACTTTGCTATTGTTGCTGGGTTGAGATGATATCTCATCTTTGTTTTGATTTGCACCTCTCTGACAGCTAGATATTTTGAACATTTCTTCATGTGTTTGTTTGCCGTTTGAATGTCTTCTTTGGTGAAGTGTCTATTCATATCCTGTGCCCATTTTGTGACTGTGTTGTTTACCTTTCCTTGTTGAGATGCTGAAGTAGTCTATAAATTTTATATATAAGTCCCTTATCAGATATGTCAATGCCAAATATTTTTTTTCCAGTCTGTGGATCTCCTTCTTATCCTATTGGAGAAGTTTTCTGATGCATATAAGATGTGATTCTTAGAAAGTCCCATTCATCTACTTTATTATTTCCTCATTGCGTGTTTTTCATTATGCATGGCAGACTGTTCATGTTGTGGATTAATTAGGGCTTCTAGAATCTTCCTAGCTTTTATTTTAGGAATTTTATAGTCTGTGGTTTTACTTCTATGTCCCTGATACACTCTGCATTGGTTTTTGTGTATGGTGGGAGGTGCAGATCTTGCTTCAATTTTCTGCAGTTGTTTTTCCAATTTTTCCAAACCATTTATTAAAGAGACTGCCATTTCCCTGCTTAACTGATTGTGTCTCCTTGTCAAAGATAAACTGGCCATAGGTAGATGAGCTGCTTTTCTGGGCGCTCAATTCTATTCCATTGGTCTATGTGTCTGTTACTGTACTAATACCATGCTGTCTTGACCACCATGGCTGTGCAGTATTTAAGATTAGGGAGTGTGATTCCTCCTACCTTCTTTCTATTTTTCAGTGGTGTTTTTCAATGTCAGATGGATCTTGCCACCATCAAAGAGTACTAGATGAATGTCTATCTGTATTTCATTGCTTGAGCAAAGGGATGTGACGGTGTGAATCACAACAAATTGTGGCTAAATTTGAGGAAAATAGGAGTCCCAGAACACTGACTGTGCTTATGCAAAACCTATACTTAGACCAGGAAGCAGCCTTCAGAACAGAGCAGGGAAGCACTGTATGGTTCAAAATCAGGAAAAGAGCGTGTCAGGGATTCAATTTATTTCCATACCTCTTCAAGCATATGTAGAACAGATCCTTCTGGAGACTGGTCTTTATGAGGAGGAATGTGGCATCAAGACCAGAGGAAGACTCATCAAATACCTGCTCTATGCAGATGACACAACCTTGCTTGCTAAAACTGAGGAGGACCTGAAGCACCTGCTGCAGAAAGTCAGGAACTGTAGTTTTAAATATGGATTGAAGCTTAACACCAAGAAGGCAAAGATTCTCACCACTGGGCCAATTGGCAGCACCATGATAGATGGAGATTGAGGTTTTTAATAACTTCGGGTTACTCAGCACAGTCAACACTCTTGGCACCTGCAGTCAGGAAATCAAAAGACAAATTGCACTGGGGAAATCTGCTGTCAGAGACCTCTCCAGAGTACTGAAGAGCAACGATGTCAGTCTAGAGACTCAGGTGCACCTGATCCAGGCCATGGTCTTCACAATTACTTGCTATGCATCAGAAAGCTTGACAATGACTAACGATGACAGAAGAAGAATTGATACCTTTGAGTTGTGCTGCTGGAGAAGAGTCTTGAATGTGCCATAAACCAAGAAAACAAATTGTTCTTGGAGAGAGTGCAATCAAATTTCTTTGGAGGCTAGGATTTTGAAGCTCCATCTCACATAATTTGGGCACATGGCCAGGAACTGGCCCTTGGAGTAGGACAGCAAACTTAGAAGGGTGGAGGGACAGAGCAGGAGAGGAAGATCCTGGATGAGATGTGTTGATATAGTAATTTGATGGCATTTAATCTATAGGGCATTGACGGTAGGTGTGTTGGAGTCAGAGACTTGCTTAGGATAGGGCAGGCTTCAGAGCTTGGTACATAAGTTGCAGAGTACTCGACAGCACATAACAACAACAACAATACTGAATAGGAGCGATGATAGTGGGCATTTTGCCTGTTCTCAAGGGGAATTCCTTTAATCTCTCTCCACTGAGAGCAATGTTGGCTCTTGGCTTTGCATGTATACTTTTCACTATGTTGAGGAAATACCCCTCTATTCCTATTTTGTTAATCAGGAAGAACTGTTGGGTTTTGTCAAAGGCCTGTTAGCATCAATTGGTAGGATCACGTGGTTCTTGTTCTTTTCCTTGTTGATGACACAATTTTGCTAGCAGAAAGAAAGGAGGGCTTAATCACTTGCTGCAGATGATTGAGGACTACAGCCTTCAATATGTATTACATCTCAACATCAAGAAAAAACAAAATCTTCACTACTAAGCCAATGACCACATCATGAGAGATGGAGAAAAGATTGAAGTACTGAACAATGTCATTTTTACTTGAGCCCACAACCAACACCTTTGAAACTAGTCATTAAGAAATAAAAAAAAAACATATTGCATTGAGAAAGTCTTCTATCAAGGATCTTTCTAAAGGGCTAAGGAACATTGATGTCAGTTGGGATACTAAACCCTCAATGAGATGGATTGATTCAGTGACTGGGGTAATGTGGGTAGGTGTGTCAGAGATGGTGAGATCGACACAGCATAGTGTAGAGTTTAGGGCTGTTGTATATAGGGTCACTACGAGTTGCAGGTGACTCGACAGCACATAACAACAACAAACATTAAACCTATAGTATTTTCAGTCACTAGTTATACATCTAAACGTTCATAATGAATAAAGATGGCAGAAGAAGAATGGATACCTTCGAGCTGTGGTGATGGAGATGTTGCTGTTGTTGTTAAGTGCCGTCGAGTCAAATACGACTCCTAGCGATCCTGTGAATAAAAGTTCTGAACCCTCTTTTATAACTATCATCATTACTCTAACGTTCATAGAGCTTCCAAACGCCTGTTGTTTAAGTTGTGGATGCCAATACTGTTCCCAGGCCTGTCTTATTCTGGGAGTTCTACCAAACCCTGTCCACCATGGGTAACCATTAGGGTTGCCACACCAGTGGTACAGTGTAGTATCACAGTAACCCAATTATTTCAGTACAGCAAACTGACAGATCAGTTCTATACCACTTAAAACAACGTTCTTCCCAAACATAATTAACACCAACTTATACATAATTGTGAATGAGATTAAAAAAAAGACCAGTGTACACTTGACTTTCAACAAAATCAAGAGAACCTACCCTCCAGAATCCAACTGTTTCACGCATGAGCCTCCAAACTGGAGACTGACTTAGAGCCCAATCTACTTTTAAATACAAAGGCTGCCCGCCAGGTCCTGATTGGCTTAAAGAAGAGGCTTCCAGCTTACAGCTGACTGTTAAGTAAACCCATCTGCTTACACACGATGTGAATGAAATAAATAAGTAAAAAGATCAAACAGTTGACTTTCGACAAAGTCAAGAGAACCTAACCTCCAGAATCCAACTGCTTCACACATGAGTGCTGCATATCCCATGGGCTACCAAAAGAACAAACAGGTATTTCTTGGGAAAAGTACAACCAGAATGCTCCTTGGAGGCAGGCTGGCCAAGCTTTCTCTCACATACTTTGAGGATGTTGTTAGTATGTGCCATTCTTTGGAAAAAGATATCATTCTTGGAAAGGTGGAGGGTCAGTGAAAGAGAGAAAGACCCTCAAGGAGACGGACTGAGAAAGTGACTGTAGCAATGGGCTTGAGTGTATCTGAGAGGAAGGCACAGGATAGGATGGCGTTTAAATATGCTGTTGCCTTGAGTCATTCTCAACGCATGGACACCTATCCACAACAATCAGAGCATTCAGATATTTTAAATGGTTATGATAAATGAGTTTCCTGTCAACTTGAACTATTGAGTCAAGGAAAAAATAAAATCCTAGAAAGAAAAAAAAAGATCAAAAGCTCCATGCAAGGAGGAGATCACTTGGTGGATCGAGGTGATGTCTTGTATTAAACATCAAGCTGCTTATCAGTAGGTGGGTGGTTCTAATCCAGCAGTTGCTCTGTGGGGAAAAGATGTGGCAGTCTGCCCCCATAGCGACTAGCAGCCTTGGGAACTCTACAGAGCAGAACTCTTTACCTGCAGGGCCACTACGAGGTGGAATCAAGCCTATGCCAATGGATCAATGGGCTGTATTTGTTGCCCCTGCACACCCAAAACCTCACCTGTACATCCTAGCATTTGAAAAAGGAGTGCTCTGTGTCTACCTACAGCAAGGACAGTGTGAACAAGGCCCAGGGACTTGAGGGGAAAGGCCACCTTTGGGGTCAGAGTAGACTACTTTGCACCTCTAAGTCCCAACACATCCACTAAAGCAGTCGTCCTCAGTTGGGAGTCCCTGCGCCCCCAGAGGAGCTGTGGACACAGCCGTTATCACAGCCACCTCCATCCCAACTCACATGACACCAGATAGTAGGGAGTCCCTGGGCTGAGTGGGAAGAGGGCCAGGGGTTGCTTCCCCAGGAGAGGAAAGGTAACCCAGAAAGGCTGAGTGGGGCAGGTCTCCAAGCACCGGGCTCTATCTATGAACAGATGGGAAGCACAGCCTGGGCTCAGGGAGGGGCACAGCAGTACGCACAGAGGTAGAGATGGAACAAGAGCAGCTGTCCAAGCATCAGGAGGCCGACGATGTCCAGGACGAGCACAGCTGCCCCCGTGATCAGGAGCACAGGGGCCTTGATCCTCACAGGGAAGAGGGGCAGGAAGAACAGCCACGTATTCTCATCCGTGATCGCTGCCAAGGAGAGAGGGGAAATGGCATGGGCCCCTTGGCACCTCTAAGTCCCAACATATCCCCTCAAACAGTAGTCTTGAGCTAGGGGTCCCTGTCCCTGCAGCAGCTACGGGCACAGCAGTTATCACAGCCACCTCCACCCCAGCTAACACGGCACCAGCTGGTGGCTAGTCCCCGGACTGAAAGGATAGAGGGTGAGAGGCTGCTGACTTGGGCAGCGAATTCCAAGTCACGGGCCAAGTTTAAGGGTCCCCACGCCCAGGTATGTGCTCTTGTACAAGCGTGCTCTTACCGCCCCGGAAACTGCAAGGGTTGGGTTTTAATGTTTAGAGTCCCACATCAGGAGTCTAGAACATACTGCTGTGCAAGGTTTGCTTACCACCCCAGGTTACGGAGTCACAAAGACAACAGACCACATTTAGGAAGAAGGATGTTCGTTACACAGGACTCAGAACCAGCACGTGATCCAGGTTCCCCCAGGGAATGTATGGGAATGGTTAGGGAATTGGGAGTGGATAATGAGTGAATAGGAAGTAAGTGAGAAGTGGATGAGGAGTGGATGGGGTGTGGACGGGGAATGAACGAGGTGTGGATGAGGACTAGATAAGGACAGGGCGTGGATGGGGAGTGGATGAGGACTCCATGGAGACTGGATGGAGGGTAACGGGGAAGTTGATGGTTAGTGCATGAGGCATGGATGGAGAGTGAACGTGGAGTGGACAGGGATTAGACGGAGAGTGAAGGGTGAGCAGAGCGAACTTGTTGAACTTGAACCACATGCCTTTGGGACTGCAGCACAGCTGGTGGCCTAGAGGTATGAAACTGTGCTGCAATCCCAAAGGCATGTGGTTCAAACCCAACTGCTGCTGCATAGGAGGAGAATGGGCAGACTCCTCTCATGTGGTGAACTGCCTCTGTTAACACACTGGAGAGTCAGCTATGGGTCAGTTTTAGCTTGACAGCACACAAGAACAGACTCTCTGCCCTGTGGAGCCTGCTGGGGCCGCATACAGGAGCCCTGGGTGTATATTTATCTGCAACACCCGCACTATGGTTGTTCACATCTGCATTAAGGTGCAGACTCCGGGCTGGGAGTTAGACTACATGCTTTTAATTGTCATACTTGAGTTTGAGGCCACTAGGACCACGGCGTACTTTTAAAGTGGGGGTCAGTACGGAGCTCATCCTGGCCCATGATGTATTGGATAAAGATGTACATGATGACCACCGCCAGGCAGAAGAGGCCGACCACGGCTGAGGCCACACAGCAGAAAAAACACCTGCACAGGAACCAGAGAAGAGAGTTGAGACACGCCAACCTCGGGAGCAAAGACACATCTAAGCTACCAATCGGGAAATGCCCCAGAGGCCAGGCTGAGACAGAGGTGGGGACACGGAGCATGGTCTCCCACCCACAGGCTGCCTTCTCATGCCCACTGACTTCCTCCGAGGGCCCCTGCCCATCTGTCCTACGCCATGCTTCCTTCATTCTCTCGTTTCCTTTTTGGGACATTTTTCAAGGATTTGCTCCTGATTTGTGATTGTTGCTGTTAAGTGCCACCAAGTCAAGCACAACTCATAGCGACCCTACGGCAGAAGATGTGAACCCAGTTCTATCCTGCGCCATCCTCACACGTCCTGACACACAAGAGCCCATTGCAGCAGTCATCTTATTTGACCCTCCACCCTTCCCAGCGTCACATCCTTCTCCAAGGAATAGCCCCTCCTAGCAACACGTCCAAAGGATGTGAGGCGAAGCTTCATCATTTTTGCCTCCAAAGGGCACTCTGCTACACCCTGTCTAAGACATACTTGTTTGTTCTTTTGGCGGTCCAACATCACAGCTCAAAGGCATCAATTTTTCTGTCATCCTTATTCATTGTTCATTGCATAGCAAGTGATTGGAAAGACCACAGCCTGAATCAGATGCACCTTAGTCCTCAAACTGAAATCATTATTCCTCAGTAATTGGGAAATGTCCCTAACTCCAGATTTTCCCAGTGCAGTGTATAGCCTTATATGAGTCCCATAGATTATATCTATGCTAGTTGTGTGGCAGGCACTTCTGGCTTAATGGATTAGAAGTTGCACTGCCAATCCAAAGACACAAGTTTGAATCCACTCTACGGGAGAAGGATGGGAAATCTCCTCCTGTGCAATTTGTTAAGCGCCATTGACGACTCTTAGAGACCTTATGCACAATAGCCTTCTCTAGCCTGGGCCAATCTCACTGTCTCAGGCACACCTACCCCTATTAGCCCAGTTACTGTGTCAATTCATCTTATCCAGAATCTTCCTGCCCTGTGCTGACTTTCCAAGCATGGTATCTTTCTCCAAGGACTGGTCTCTTCTGACAACATGACCAAAGTATGTGAGGCAGAGTTTCAAAATCTTTGCCTCCAAGGTACAATCTGGCTTCCAGGACAGACCTGTTAACTTGGCAGTCCATGATATGTTCAATACTTTTGTCCAGCACCACATCTCAAAGTATTGATTCTGCTTCAGTCACCCTTAGTCATTGCCCAGCTCTCAGATGCACAGCAAGCAATTGAGACAATCATGACCTGGATCAGGCACACCTTAGTCTCTAGACTGATATTGTTGCTCTTTAGCATTCTGGAGAGGTCCTTGACAGCAGAATTCCCTAAAGCAACTCATCTTTTGATTTCCTGACTGGTGGTGCCAAGACTGTTGATTATGGATCCAAGAAAGATGAAATTATTAATATCTTCAACATCTTCTCCACCTATTATAATACTGTCAATTGGCCTGGTGGTGAGAATCTTTGTTTTCTTGATGTTGAGCTTCAATCCATATTGAAGACTGCAGTCCTTGACCTTCTGCAGCACATACTTCAAGTCTTCCTCAGATTCGGTGGACAAGGTTGTGTAATCTTCCACCAATCCTGATGCCACATTCCTCCTCATAAAGTCCAGCCTCCCAAGTGATCTGTTCTGTATACAGACTGAAAAGGTATGAAGCAATTTACAGCCTCTGAAAACCTCCTGGAGGGTCAACCACAAGCTAGTTTTAACTCAATGACTCAGGACAACCAGAGCGGGTGAGCTGCCTCAGAGCTGGAAGAAACTCACCAATGATCTGAGTTATGCAGATGACACAACCTTGCTTGCAGAAACTGAAGAGGACTTGAAGCACTTGCTGTGGAAGATCAAAGACTGCAGCTTTCAATATGGATTATACGTCAATATCAAGAGAACAAAAATTGCCATCACTGGGCCAACAGGCAACATGATGATAGATGGAGAAAAGAATGAAGTTGTCGATGACTTCACCTTAATTGAACCTACAATCAACACTCATAACAGTAGTCAAGAAATCCAAAGATGTGTTGCATTGGGAAAATTTACTGTCAAGGACCTATCTAAAGTGCTAAGGAGCAAGAATGTCACTTTAAAGACTAAGGCGTGTCTGATTCGAATGGTCTTCTCCATTGCTTCCCACGCATGTGGAAGTTGTAAACTGAATATCCATGGCAGAAGGATAACTGATGCCTTTGAACTGTGCTGTGTTGGAATAGTATTGAATAGCCCATGGACTGCCAAAAGAACAAACAAATCTATCTGGGAAGAAGTGCAACCGGGGTGCTCCTTAGAGGCAAAGGTGGTGAAATCTCATCTCATCTACTTTGGACATGTTGTCAGAAGGGACCAGTCCTTGGAAAAAGTCATCACAATGGAAAAGGTGACGAGTCAGAGGAAGAAAGGATGGCCCTTAATAAGATGGACTGAGGAAGTGACTACAGCAATGGACTTAGCTTATCAGAGATTGTGAGGGTGGCACACAACAGGACAAGGGTCAGATCTGTTGTTCACAGGATCACTGCTGGCCATCACTGACTTGATGGTACCTGAAAACAGCATTTGTGTTGCTTTACAATCTAGATAGTGCTTCTGACTTACATGATCTCCTCCTAAGCGTGTGAGGAAGGTGGACCACCCACCCCCCCTCATTTCAGGCATGGAAACTGAGGCTCAGAGGCCTGCATGACCTGCCTGGATGACTCGTCCTGCAGACCAGTGACAGGCTGGCCTTTTGACTTGACGGTCAGTCTTACCTGCATCTCTCCACCAGGGTTGTGTTTAGGCCGGGCCTACTCCTGACCGGGAAGACGAAAATCTGGTTTTTTTCATGTTCTAGAACCAGAAATGACCTTCTCTGGATTTCTTCCTGGAGTAAGGGGATCATGACCCACTGAACTAGAACATTAGGAATGTAAAAAGAGATTCCTGACACCATCAATCTTTTCTCTATTTATCATGATGGTGTCTATTGGTCCAGTGGTGAGGAACGTTGTTTTCTTGATTTTGAGATATAATTTATACTAAAGGCTACAGTCTTTGTTCTTCTTCAGTGTTTTAATTCTTCACTTTTAGCAAGGCTGTATCTTATGCATAACACAAGTTGTAGGTAAGTCTTCTTCTAATCCTGATGCCCCAGTCTTCTTCATATAGTTCAGATTTCTGAATTAATATGAAAAAATATCGCGAAAGGATACAACCCTGACACGCACCGTTCCTGCTGTTAAACCGGAGTCTCCCCTTGTCCTGTTCAGGCGCCTTCTTCTTGATTCATATCCAGGAACTGGTGGTTGTTGATGTGAGGTTTTGTAGAGGTGATTATGACTCACAGCGACCCTGTGAACAACAGATCTGAGCTCTGTCCTATCCTGCGCCGTCCTCCTCGTCTCTGATATACTTAAGCCCAATGCTGCAGTCACTATGTCAGTCCACCTTGTTTTCACCTCTTTTCACTAATTCTCTACCTTTGCAAGTATTATGGCCATTTCCAAGGAACAACTCCTCCTAACAACACTGAGATTGAGATTGTTCACAGCTTCAGTTTGCTTGGCTCTACAAGCAACACTCTTGGTACCAGCAGCCAGGAAATTAAAAGACGAATTGCATTGGAAAAGTCTGCTGTCAGAGACCTTTACAAAGTACTGAAGAGCAACGATGCCAGTCTAGAGACTCAGGTGCATACAGGCCACGGTCTTTACAATTACTTGGTATGCATTGGAGAACTGGAAAATCAGTAGGGATGATAGAAGGTTTTTGAGCTTTGGTGCTGGAGAAGAGTATTGAATATACCATGGACTGCTAGGAGAACAAACAAGTTTGTTCTGGAGAGGGCGAGACAGGCTGCTCCTTGGAGGCAAGGATTTTGAAGCTTCATCTGACCTACTTAGGACATGTTGCAAGGAAGGACCAGTCCTTGGAGAGGAACGTCATGCTTTGGAGGGTGGAGGGACAAAGCAGGAGAGGAAAACCCTCGATGAGATGGATTGATTCAGTCACTGGGTTAATGGGATGGGCGTGTTGGAGACAATGAGATTGGCACGGGATAGAGCAGGGTTTAGGGCTGTTGTACATAGAGTCAATATGAGTCACAAGCAAGTCCACGGCACATAACAACAGCAACATGCTCAAAGTACAGAAATTTGTAGAAGTCCTAAATTTCTTCATCTTTGGCTTTAGCAATTGCTACGTATTGTTGTTGTTGTTGTTAGGTGCCAATGAGTCTAGTACGACCCATAGTGACCCTATGAACAACAGATCTGAACCCTGCTGTATCCTGTCCCATATTCACACTTCCTGACACACTAGAGCCCATTGTGGCAGTCACCATGTCAGTCCACCTGGTTGAGGGTCTTCCTTTCCTTCACTGACCCTCTGCCTTCCTCTCCAAGGAATAGCCCTTCCTAGCAACAAGCCCAAAGCATGTGATGCAAAGCTTTATCATCTTTGTCTCCAAAAGACACCCTGGCTGCACTTTCTCCAAGACATGTTTGTTTGTTCTTTTGAATAATTGTTGGGAGACATAGCTCTTGCTTATGTGCATCTGGACATTGTTCTATCACTGACAGCACTGTGCTTCAAGATCGACTCTGAAACGTTCTTTCTGATGAGGAGTGCTGCGTCGTTCTTCTTCAATTTGTTATTCCCGCTGTGCTTCTTCCCACATGATTGTCTCGTTCAAAATGGCAAATTCTCATCCGTCTCAGTTCACTAACGCCTAACGATGTCGATCATCATGCATTCCATTTCATTCTTGACAACTTCTAATTTTCCTACCTTCATACTTGATCCATTCCATGTTTCAGTTCTGAACAGTTGTTTTTAAGTGCTTCTCTTCGGTTTGAGGTAGGTCACATCAGCAAATGGGGTCATTCACTGACCAAGTCCTTGACCTGCGTCCTGACAGTAGACTCTGCTTTGAAGAGACGGCTCTTTCTCAGTCATAATATGAGTGTGCCTTGGAACCTGAGAGGCCCATCTTCAGACACCGCATCAGACAATATTCTGCTGGTACTGAGAGGCTTTTCAAGGGCCAATTATTGCAGATGTGGATGGCTGGTCCTGCTTCCTGGTCAGACTTTGTCTGGAAATTCCACTGAAAGCTGTTCACCAAGAGTAATCTTACTGGTATTTTTTTACATTATTATCATTATATTACTACTACTAATTTTAATGACAATTTACAGAGACTTTGGATTTCCATTCATTCATTGTTGCAATTTTCTCCCTGCCCACCCCTCCCCCGCAGCTCGCTCATCTCTTTGAAAAGCAAAAGAAAAATTCTTTCATTGTTATACATTCCCTCCCCCCAAGTCCACTCCACTATGCAGCCTTCGTTCTGGACTCCTGTCTTGACAACAATACCTAATCACATATCCCTTTTAAGCATTTCTCTCCCTCATCTGTTTCAATGCAGTATACACCATTTATCCCATCTTTCTCAGTCTCCCTCCAACCCCAGTGTCAGTCCCATTTTAAAACAGTGGCACTGTTCTTGCTAGTATTTGAAATACCAGTGACAGAGCTCCGGAGCGTTCGGCATCGCGGCAACCAGCAAGCCACCATAGTACAACAACCGGACAGACAAATGGTGGATTATTGTGTTGTTGTTGTTGTTAGGTGCCGTCGAGCCAACGAGGACTCAGGTCTTCAGAGGGAGTGCTAACCTGTGGGTTTCCAGCAGAAGGTCAGATGGAGGCTAGACTCTACCTCAGACTGTTGGGAGAAGAAGCGGTGTGAGACCTCTCTGTGTCTTGACCTCCATTCTGGATCCTCTTCGGGACATCTCCTCTGGACAAAGCTGCTGCCTTGGGTCCTTGTTTGAGGGACGAGGTCCTACGTTGGCAGCCCTGTGTCCTTGGTGTGTGCTCTCGTCAAGTTGTAGTGGGCACCGTTGATGCCTACTCTTCCCTAAGTTTCATCCTGGGTTTCCTCCTGCGCTGGGTGAATGCCTCTTTTCCTGGCAAGTGTCATGACTTTGTTGTCTAGACATACTCAAGTGCAGAGTCCCGTTGAAGGATTGGTCAGGACTTAACCATGGCCTTGAGTAGAGGCCTGTACTATGTGGCTGTCCAGGCTCTGTCCTGCTCTATTGTGGCCAGGGGGTAAGGACACAAAGGGCCAGTGCCATCTGCACACAGTTCTCCCTTCAGGGGATCAGGACCCCTCTACTCTCCAATTGCCCTGGGTCCTCATTGCCCTGGCTGGGTCATGTTGTGATAAATAAGGGGTCCCAGAATCACTCAATCAGCCAAGCCAAACTGCCCTGAGATGCCTTCCAGATCACCACTCATATTAAGTCTTCCCTGCCTTCCTTCAAACCCCATGAAAAATCACGAGGTTCCACTTTTATTTCTTTAGTTGTGACGTAGGCCAGAGTTGACAGAACAAATTGGATTTCCATTCAACAACTCACATGCGTTCTGTGGTGGGACATTGGCTGTAGTCCCCACGACACAACATCACTCTTCTCCCTCCCTGTGGCTCTCACTTCCATCAGCCCTCTTCCCTCTCCTTCCTCCACCTGTGCTCCGTCCTTGCAAACGACGCCCTTCTGATCTCGCGTGGTTGTGTTCTTAGCAGAGCATGCCTTCCTGGTGAGACTCCTCCTTATAGACCTAGCTATTGTTGAGCTGAAAGTTTATCCACACGAGTGAGCTGAGCTCAGGCCTGGAGGGTGCCTACAGCGTAGCTGATGGTTCCACAGGCCTCTATCGGACCAGAAAGCCCGGTGTTTCTTTCTGACTTTGAATTGTGTCCAGCGTTTTCCTCCCACTCTTTATCAACCTTTGTCTCGCATGATCACGGGAAACCAACGTGTCTGCATTTGCTTTTCCGCATTCCCTGGAGTTCGTGCCATTTTCCGTACCCTGTGCCCCTGCCCCTTCCACCTTTGTCCTTTCTCCCCATGGCAGGATGCGTGACTGATTGACTGCGTGCTCTGAGATGACATATCACATCCTCACTTTCGGTCCATGAGAGTGACTTTGTCTGGAAAGAAGAGTTCTCTTGGTAGATGCTGTCAGTTATGCTAAATGATGTCAGAGCAGAGTCAGATGGGTCCTGTGTGTGCAAATTCCCAACCCTGCTGCTGTTAAGGCAATTCTGACACATCGGTGAACCTCACGCAGGCTTCCAGGCTGAAAATGTTTATAGAAGTAGACACACACCCTTGCACCCACACACAACCCACACATACAGACTAGCACATAGCCACACACACACACACACCCCCCAGGCTTCACACGGCCCCACAGAGCTCCACAGACAGCTTCACAGCCAGCCCACCCTCTGTCCCCAGGCTCCACATGGTCCCATACACAGGTCCACACACTGACCCCACACAGCCCGACACAGGTACACACACACAGCTTTACAGCCAGCCCGCCCTCTGCCCTCAGGCTCCACACGGCCCCATGCAGCTACACACACACAGCTTTACAGCCAGCCAGCCCTCTGTCCCCAGGCTCCGCATGGCCCCATACATAGGCCCACACACTGACCCCACACAGCCCCACGCAGCTACACACACACAGCTTTACAGACAGCCCACCCTCTGTCCCCAGGCTCCACATGGCCTCATACACAGGCCCACACAGAGATCCCCACATGCAGGTCCCACACAGGCCCCACATAGTCCCACCACAGACCCCACACAGTCCATCTCAGTTCACCTACAGCCCTTGCACACGCTGACCCTCAGCCCTTTCCCGTCTCCTGGGCATCCCACATCCTCCACACTAAGGGGTGTCTTCGCACACCAGGGCCTCCCTCCCTTCTCACTGTATCTCTGAGGACAGAAGACCTCTCCTATCCCAGCATGCACTGCCTCCTGTTTTTCACCAGAGGACGCAGGAACAGGTCCAGGAAGGCGGTCATCCTGGGGACAGGCTGGCCTTCTCAGTTCTTTGTGGCAATGCCTAGTTCAGTCCACTGTCGTTTTTGGTCTTGGCCACCTCCTCTGGCATCAGGGAGCCTCTTTTGACATCAGGGAGCTTCCTCTGACTCAGGGAGCTTCCTCTGATACCAGGAAGCCTCCTCTGACATCAGGGAGCCTCCTCTGACATCAGGGAGCTTGCTCTGATTCAGGGAGCTTCTTCTGATACCAGGAAGCTTCCTCTGACATCAGGGAGCTTCGAATGACATCAGGAAGCCTCCTTTGACATCAGGAAGTCTCATCTGATACCAGGAAGCCTCCTCTGATGTCAGGAAGCCTCAGGGAGCCTCCTCTGACATCAGGGGGCTTCTGTCCACATCCCTCACTGAGCCCGAATGAGCTTTGCCCTGCACAGGAACCCGCCATTGATCTGCACTCCTCACAGGCAGGGCCACTCTTGTCCCCCCGAAAGGGGCCTCATCTGGTGGCTGGGATGGACTCTAGAGGAAGAAGCTAGCATCAGACAGGGGTTTAAGAAGGTCTGGGCATGAATGAAGACACAAGGGGCCAGTGAACTGAGGTCGACAACAGCCCTGACCTCAGGGTCCAGAGAAAATCTCCCCCCCTGGACCAAACAGCCAGGGGTGAGGGGTGGGGGACTGCCAGTTTCCTCCCCGCCGTGGGAGGTGGTGCTGTGTTTTCAGCTATACCACCCCTGGTTTGTCACTGCTAGTGAATGACACAGGGTCTCCTCACGTAGAGAGGGGTGGATGGCTCACACCCAGGCTTGTCACTCTGAATGGATAGCACGCAGATGCTGCAGGAAGGCGGGTCAGCAAATGGGATTGAGCTTCCATGGGGGGTGGAGACGTGTGGGCTTGAGGGATCAGGGCAGGCCTGTGTGGGGTCCGACAGGCACACCCCCAGGCGGAAGACTGAGATCTGCTCTTTGTAGAGCAGACGTGGGCAGAGCAACAGAGTTAGGCTACATCTGGTTTCATGCAGTGCTCTGATGCCCAGAGGGGAGAACCATTTGAGCCCAATACCAGGAACCACAGGGACCTGACAAATCTCCTTCCTTCTGCAGAAAGCACCGACTGCAGCTCAGTGCAGGATGCCTGCCCCAGCCCAGCCCTGCACAGCAGCCGCCCAGCCAGGCCCTCCGTCCTGCCTTCAAGCCCTCCCACTGTCCCTGCTCCCAGCCTCTTGTCTAACTGTGCCTCTGGAGATCAGTGGTCTGGCTGGAGAGAGCAGACCCACAGGACAGTGGATTCAGCAACCACACAGTTGTCGGCTCATCAACGTCTCCACAGGGGGACCCCCAGAGCCTCCCTAACTGCCCCTGCCCTGCGGAGGAGGGGTCTTGTGGGTTGGGGACATGCTTCTAAACCAAGACCTCTGTCACCAAGGAGCCTGAAGGAGCCAAGCACACCCCTGCCCGAGCCCAGCCTCCCAGCACAGGTTGGACGGCCCTCCAGCCTCCTCCCAGCCGGTCACCAGTAGTTCCTGCTGCCCACACAGTTGTTGAGCCAGTTGCAGTGGTGGTCGAAGTTGGTGATGCACTTGTTGCAGGCACTGCAGTGCTTGGCTTTCAAGCTCCTGGAAGGGGGGGGGGGGTTGGGAGGCCCCTGATCAGGCCTGTCAGGTTGAGTGGGGTCAAGATTAGGGCCCTCCCATCAGGGGCTGTGCTGCCTGGGAGGGGGCCCCACATTCTAGCTTCACATCCAGGGAACAGCTGGCCCCATGCCCGCCACCAGCAGGCCCAGTAAGCAGGATTGAGGACCGTGAAACAGACACAGGGGCAGGAGGAGAGAGTAGCACCCACCTCCAGAACTAGGGGTGCCAGACAGACAGTGTCTTAGAGGATGAAGTTCCATGCAGTTCCAGGGATGAAGGCCACTCAGACCCCACTCTGAGCCCACGGGACTCCCATAGTTCAATTGACCTCCTGACCCCCAGGCTGCCCAGATACCCCAGGACATCTAGTCCTAGGACAGCTGGATTCCAGGGATATCTGTACACCCCAGAACATCTAGACTTCTAGGACACCTGGATGCCCCAGGATATCTGAATACTCCAGAGCATCTGGACATCCCAGGACAACCGGACACCCCAGGACATATGGACACCTTAGGGACAGCTGGACACTCTAGGCCATCTGCACCTCCCTGGACATCAAGACACACACACACACACACACACACACACACACACACACACACACCAGGACATCTGAGTCTTAAGACATCTAGGCCCTGGGAGATCTGGACCCCCCAGGACATCAGGACTCCAGGATATCTGGGCCTGGGACATCTGGACACCTCATGACATCTGGACCACCTGGGACATCTGGACCACCTGGGACCTGGCATGGCCACAGCCAGTGATTTCCCTCTACCCCCCCCCACCCCAAGAGAACAGAGGATCATTCCAAAGCCCAAGAGGACACCCCCTTGTCCCCCAAGGCTGTGGACAGAGGAGGGGCATGGGGCACTCACACGGTGACCTCACACAGGTGGCAGTACTGGTTCTGAATTACATGCTCGTGCTTGGTGCGGTCAAAGGTGGGCATGGGCCGCTTGTAGTTCTTGATGCGCACGTTTGGCTCGGCAGGGTCAGTGGAGACGGCCATCAGGTGAACCACCATGTGGAACAGAAACAGCACACCGGTCACCTGGGACGGGGGGATGTCAAGGAAGCAGGATCTCTGGTGCTCTGGCCCACCCACGCTGTCCTGGGAGCAGGCGCCCAGCAACGGTAGACCCACGTGGCACAGTGCAGGACGCCGGGTCCCGTGCTGGGGGCCAGAAGGAAACCATCACGGGGTCAAGTGACCAATGACACACGAGCCGACCTAGCTCCTCTGTGCTGTGCTTTACTGTGCTTCTCACTGAGCTGATAACACCTGGCAGGCCGCTGGCACGCCTGCACCCAGTGAGCCTTTCAAAGCCATCTTCTAACAGCACGTGCTCACTCTGTACCTCTGTGCCACACTGATCAACCTCGTGGCATTGCAAACTTTTCTATACGCCATTGCACATGTAACCGACCACAGAGCCTACTGCCATAGAGCTGGTTCCAACGTGGAACCAGGGTTTTGAGATTGTGTGGAAAGTCAGGGACCGCAGTCTTCAGTATGGATTGAGGCTCAATATCAAGAAAACAAAGATTCTCAGCACTGGGTCAATTGGCAGCATCAGGATGGATCGTGAAGAGATTGAGATTGTTCACAGCTTTAGGCTGCTTAGCTCCACAGTCAACACTCTTGGCACCAGTAGCCAGGAAATTAGAAGACATATTGCGATGGGAAAATCTGCAGTTAGAGACCTCTCTAAAGTACTGAAGAGCAATGATATCAGTCTGGAGACTAAGGTGCACCTGATACAGGCCATGGTCTTTGCAATCACTTGTTATGCATCAGAGAGCTAGACAATGACTAGGGATGATAGAAGAATTGATGCCTTTGAGCTGTGGTGCTGGAGAAGAGTATTGAGGGTACCATGGACTGCCAAGAAACTAACAGGTTTGTCCTGGAGAGGGTGAAGCTGGGCTGCTTCTTGGAGGCAAGGATTCTGAAGCTTTGTCTGACACACTGTGGACATGTTGCAAGGAGGGACCGGTCCTTGGAGAGGGACGTTATGCTTGGGAGGATGGAGGGGCAGCGCAAGAGAGGAAGACCCTCTATAAGGTGGATTGGGTACTGGGGGAACGGGGGCAGGTGCATCAGAGATAGTGCGATTGGCACAGGACAGAGCAGGGTTTAGGGCTGTTGTACATAGGGTCACTATGAGCCACAGGCAACTCGATGGAGGGGCAGCGCAAGAGAGGAAGACCCTCTATAAGGTGGATTGGGTACTGGGGGAACGGGGGCAGGTGCATCAGAGATAGCGCGATTGGCACAGGACAGAGCAGGGTTTAGGGCTGTTGTACATAGGGTCACTATGAGCCACAGGCAACTCGATGGCACCAAACAACCTTCTATTTTCTATGTGTATTTAAAAATATTATTTGTTGTTGTTGTTTATATATAATAATTTGTTTACAGAGGTTTTATTCTTTAAAGGAAGGGTTGCCTCTCTTTTTCCCAAAGGCTCGGCCGGTGGATTTGATTTCACAATCTCTGGTTAGCAGCCCTACACATTACCCACAGTGCCAACAGGGCGCTTTCACAGACCCTCAACTCAAACTCGATTCATTGCTGAGTTGGCACGACTCACCGCTGGCCCTCCAGTGGGTTTTCAAAGGCGGTCAAGTCACATGGCAGGAGATGCCTGTCTCTCTTCCAAGGAGCAGCTGGCCACCAAAGCTCCCCATTCTGTCCCACAGTCCTGTTGTTGTTAGGTGCTGTGGAATCGAGAATGACTCATAGTGACCCTGTGAACACCAGATCTAAACCCTGTCCTGTCCTAAGCTGTCCCTGACACACTTGAGCCCACTGCTGCAGTCACTGTGTCAATCCATCTCATCAAGAGTCCTCCTCTCTGTCACCATCCCTGCACCTTTCCAAGCATGATGGCCCTCTCCGAGGAAGAGCCTCCGCTAACAACACGCAGAGGATGAGCGATAAAGCTCCACCATCCTTGCCTCCAAAGAGCCCTCTGGCTGTACTTTTCTTACGTTGTATCTGCTTGTTCTCCTGGCAGTCCATGGATAACGCAGCCTGTGGTGCAGTAAAAGTCCAGCTTGCACAAGGAAAGCAGACAGAGGAATGGTGTGACCAGCCTGCTGGCAATACTGGCCTCACCCAGGTGGTGAGGACTGGAGCCGCAGTAGCTCAGAGGTCAGCCTGCCTGTCAGAAACAACAGAGTTTCTGCACGAGCAGAGAAGGTCCCCATGGCATCTTGATTCCACCCATTTCAGCAGCACTTCCATGTAGAAACCTTGTCTGGGAGATGAGATATTGCTGAGGGATCACGTTAGGGATCAAACTATGGTCCCTGCTCTTTGTGTTGCATTGCTAACCAAACATTTAGCAGTTCGAATCCAAGTGCCACCTTGAGGGAGAAGGCTGGGCAGGCTCCTTCCTTAGAGACTTCAAGCTTCAGAAACTCAGTGGAGGGCGGCCGTGGGTCAGAATGGACTGGGTCAGAAAGGGTGATGCTGTGCTCAGGGTGCCAACAGTGTGAGGGAGTCCTCGCCCTGCCCCTGTGCTTGGAAACAGGTTCTTCTTGTTGACGAGGACATTGTCGTTGTCACTTTGTCTTGGACAACACAAAACAGCACTTTCTTGTGAGGTCTCTCAACCTAACATCTTCTCTCTCCTCAGGGCTGCTTGTCCCCCAGACCACGTCCACCCTCTCCTCTGCCTCCCCTCCAGCAGGTTCACCCCCAAGCCATGCGAAGGGGTCTTGTTTACCCAGATGGAGGGTCACACACTTCCTGGGAAAGTGCATTTCAAACAAGGACCCCCAGCCCGCACACAGCACAGAGAGGGAACAGAGGACGGTGTTACTCCTGGCTCCATGACAATGGGGCATCTGGAGCGAGGGGCGGGAACGAGGGTGAGTGCAGGCTGAGCTTGTCTGACACGGTGACCGACACTTAGACGAGGAACCGGTAAGTCTGAGAGGGTCCTGGACACAGCATGGTCAGGACAGTGTTGTGGAGCATCAACAGGGGGCCTGGTCACAGAGGGCAGAGACATGGTCAAGATGGTTAGGGACATGGTCAGGAGGGCAGGGATATGGTCACAGAGGGCAGGGACACGGTCAGGGTGGTTAGGGACATGGTCAGGAGGGCGGAGATATGGTCACAGAGGGCAGGGATATGGTCACAGAGGGCAGGGACAGTCACAAAGGACAGGGACACAGTCACAGAGGACAGGGACGTGGTCACAGAGGACAGGGACATGTCAGGGTGGTTAGGGACATGGTCAGGAAGGCAGAGATATGGTCACAGAGGGCAAGGACAATCAGAGAGGACAGGGACACAGTCACAGAGGAGAGGGACATGGTCACAAAGGGCAGGGACATGGTCAGGGTGGTTAGAGACATGGTCAGGTGGGCAGAGAAACAGTCACAGAGGGCAGGGAAACGGACACAGAGGGCAGGGATACTGTCACATGGGGCAGGGACATGGTCAGGGTGGTTAGGGACACGGTCACAGAGGGCAGGGACATGGTCACAGTGGGCAAGGACATGGTCACAGTGGGTCAAGACTTGAGCAGGGGCTGGCCTGGGCTGTGCAGAGACGCAAGGGCTGCAGGCACATCCCCCAGTGGTGGGAGCACCCACAGAGTGAAGGATACGCCATACGCCACGTGCCTCCAGACGCCGGGCAGCAGAGGGATGAAGATGCCGAAGCTGGTGAAGGTCATGACCAGGAACGTGATCCAGGCCACTGCCTGCAGCGTGTTGAGTGGCAGAGACCAGCCATTCACCCTGGACATCAGGGGCGGCTTTGACCTCAGCTTTATCCTGTTGGTGCCAGCATCCGGATTGATCCGTCGGAAGCTCCTGCCACAGAAGTCCATCTGCAGGGGAAGACGGGAGAGGGACGGCGAGCCATCAGAGAAAGCGGTGGCTGACCTGCATGGACGGCGGGGCCAGAGGGGCAGGACACCCACATCCCAGGATGTTTCCTCATCGCTGGAGATTCATTCATAGTGTATGCTCAGAGCCTCACAGCCCCTCCCAGAGAGGGCCCAGCACGCACTCACCTGCAGAGAGTGACCTGGACACCAGGTTAGGTGGACCTGACAGCTCTGACCAGGGCACGTTTATGGGCCTGGCCAATTTCCCATCTTTCCATCACATCAGAGTCCGCTGGAAGCAGACATGGCTCTCTCAACACCACAGCTCCTTCCAGTAGAGTTGAACTTACAATTTACAGCACATCACGCAGTAAGACCTAGGCGATGGTGTTTATCACGGATCAGGAAGCACAAGTGACCACGTGCCTACGTTGCTTACTGTGTAACCCACCTTGTTAACTAGTTAATCCTGTAAACATCCACGCTACAAGCATTGGGTAATCCGCAGGCTTCCTGGAGGCAAGAGCTTCCCAGGACAAGACCACCCAGGACAGCTGGTGAAAGTCAACTCACCAAAGCTGCCCCACGTCCACCCTGCACACCTGCCTCACGTCCACCCGACACAGCTGCCTCATGTCCACCCTGCACACCTGTCCCATGTTCACCCGACACAGGTGCTCTAAGTCACCTGCCCCACGCCCACCCAGCACAGCTGCCCCACGTCCACCTGACACAGCTGCCCAACGTCACCCAGCACAGCTATCCCACGTCCACCCAGCACAGCTGTCCCACATCCACCCAGCACAGATGCCCCATGTCCACCCGGCACAGCTGCCCCACGTCCACCTAATAAAGCTGCTCCAAGTCCACCCAGCACAGCTGCCCCACGTCCACCCAACACACCTGCCCCACGTCCACCCGGCACAGATGCCCCATGTCCACCCGGCACACCTGCCCCACATCCACCTAATACAGCTGCCCCACGTCCACCCAGCACAGCGGCCCCACGTCCACCCAACACACCTGCCCCACATCCACCTGGCACAGATGCCCCAT